TTAGTTTGTGTTGAAAAAACACAAATAGCCTACAAATACCAAGAAAGGATGAAAAGAATTTACAAACATATGGAGTGCATTATACATGTTTTCAAATTTTCCCTATGATTAGAAATGGAAAATATATTGCTAGGGCCTTGATTCCTAAACTCAGCCATTTCCCTAAATTATTCCAAGTTCTTCCAAGACTATTTTCTCACAGGGATATGTACTAGATGGACATGAACCTTATAAAAATCCTGCTCAACGCCAGATGTGTCATGCTCCAAAAGCTAAAAGGACTGGGCATGTGTAGTGTGCTCTAATGGGGGTGGAGAGCACTGGGGTCAGGGAGAGGTGACACTACTGAGCCCCCACACACTTAAGTAGCTGTGGGGCTTCAGATGTGACTGGGAACAGTAACAGAAGCCTCATCTACAGGAAAAGGCATGACGATATTGACTGCCGGAATAGCAATTCCTCATCCTTTCTGATCCATGCTCTTTGGAATGGATTTGACAGCTGCTCCTATCAACAAGTAGAATCTGTTTCCCCCAAACGGAATCTGGGCAGGACTTATTTTGCTTTGGCCAAGAGAATGCAGTGGAGATGAGTGTGTCAAATGGTCTTGAAAGCTTGTGTCTCCCAGAACCTTGCCATTTGCGACAACAAACCCATCCTAGGCTCCTAGAGCATGAGAAATCCCAGTGAGGAGAATCAAGGCATCCCATTTGACAGCCAGCTCACCTTCAGAAGCAGAGCCACCTAGGCAACCAACGCTGGCCAGAGACACACACACATGCAAAGGAGCCCAGAGATAAGACATGAATGGCCCCAGCTGAGCCCAACCAAAATATGAAGTAAATTTGGGGATGATTTGTTATACTGTAGTAGCTACTACATAATGCTCCTACACCCATTGCAGAAAGGACCCTGGGATCTGATGACATACTGATTACGAGTTACCTGGCAAACATACCCTACAGGTACTGGTTTTCTTTTCTAATCATTTAAAGTTTATCGGTTAAGTAATGCACATATACAAGCATGCTTGTGAGTGGTGCTCAAACCATATCCCAACACCATGGGAGGAACAGAAACACACCCTGACCATGAAGGGCCCAAAGCCAAATAGCAAAATAAAAAGTAGCTTTTAATTTATTCTCTCCAAACCTAAAAACTGGATGTTAAGGCTGATCCAAAGCGACGTTCCTGCCTGGTAGGGTCCTACTGTCCTGTACTCCCTGCCTCATCTTTGGGAATGGACCTCTGTCTTCTCATTGCTGAGACAAAAAACTGACACCCAAAGTCAAAGTGGAAAGTTTCGGTCCATAATCAGCTGGCTCCAAGGCAGAGTGGCACATTCAGAGTGACGTTGCAGGGGAGAACAGTTCATGGCACTCACATGGTCACAAAAGCAACAAAAGAACCTTAACAGCTTCTACCCCTTTCATCTTACCCAGACTACTGGGATTAGAGTGGTGCCCAGCCAGTCACTGTTCCGATTTAATAATCACACCCCCTAGATTCAGCCACCTGTGAAAAAGCCACCTGTGACTGCATGAGGTTTTGGGGGGACGTCCAGACCCAAACCAGAGCCACCACACAAGCATAGCAGGTGGAAGGCCGTGGTCCACCCTTGGAGACTTCCCCCCCTCACAGCCTCCTGCTCAGTTTCTCAGGGAGGCTTGCATCTTCTCTTATGGGCGGAGCAGAGATGCTGGTAGCAAGCAATGTTCCCTTGCCTCTGGCAGGGACGGGGGCTGGGGCAGGGTGGTCAGGCCCCTCACTTCGAGCCAAGGGAGTTGCAGCTCAGAACTCTTTCAGCGTGGCAGCCCCTTGGCTGATGTGGCTACTGGGCACATACAACACAGTGGCTGAGATGTACTGGAAACAAATACAGTCAGTTTCAAAGATTTAGCACCCCTGAAAGATGTTAATATTTCACTGATTATGCCTTAAAATACTTTGTAATAAGTTTAACCCAAATCAATTTCAGCTGTTTTCAGCATGGCTACTAGAAAAATTTGAAGTTACAGGTGTAGCTCATGACTTCATTTACACTTTGCTGGGGTGGACTCCCACCTTTTTCAAAGCTCAGGCTGCCTCCTCAAAAAGAGGCGAGGAGTTTTGAAAATCTGAAATTTACAACCTGTTATTTTAGGGAAGAGGGAGGACAGAAAGGGGAAGGGGAAGTAAAAATTAAGATGTGTTACATACAGGTATGAACTCCGTGATGCATATAATTATGCACTGCAATCATGTAGTAAAAAACCCTGCCATTGTATTGTTTCTGTTCGTGAATAACTGGTAGTGAAGAGTTTAAGCCTGATATAACAACTGTTAACCAACTTGCCTTCTCTAATACCAGAAATAAGCAACCTGAAAGGAAGAAAGGCTTATTTTGGCTCACACCTTCAGAGGTTTCAGTCCATGGTTTCAGCAGTTCCGTTCCAACCCCAGTGACATGTGATGTTTGCCACAGCGTTACAACAGTCCAGCTGATATAGAGTAAGTGTACTGGGTAATACCTGCTGTCTGGGGCCTGGGGTGAAGTGGGAGTGTGTACTGGAAGGCTGCTGGGAAGTAGAGGGGAGGGGGCATGTGTCCTCCCCAGTGACATCACTTTCTCCCACCTCGCCCCTCCTAGTTTCCACCACCTCTCAACAGCACCACTGGCTGGCAACCAGGCCTTTAAGCATATGAGCCTTTGGGGGACAAACACCGCTAAGTTTAAAGTTCAACATGAAATACCATACGTTCATTTTTATATCATGCCAGGACTTGACATTTTGCACCAGGGTGGCAGAATCAATGAAAAGACACTGTCCTTTTCCGTAAGACTTACTTTTAAAAACTTGATCATTTAATATGAAAAATTCCATCTATAAACAGAATATCTTTTAAAAACACTGTAGAATATGTACATTAATTTGAGAAATCAATGAGCAGATAGGGTAACTTTTAAAATAGCTATGAGGATGTCCTATTAAAATTACTCTACAAACACCTAATAGCCAACAAGCACCAAGCCCAGCGCCATCAAAGACATGTACGATTTAGCGAGCTTCTCAAGGATTGGCTGCAGGTCTGCAGTTTCAAGATGCTCTTCCCTGTAATCAGGGGAAAAGCTAAGTTAAGTGTGAAGCTCTTGGACCACAGGATTTTCTTTCCCTGGGGTATCAGTATTTTTAGTTCCTAACATCAGAAACACCAATTACAGGACACAGCTGAGAGCAAGCATGCGATGAGCTGAGCCTGGAGTCAGATTGTACCTTATACCCATGTGGGTTTGCTCATTATTAAGAGCGGCATAATCTCAACAGTTCAGTTATTTCCTGGTACACTTAGTCTACGGCAGGTCGACCACTGTCACACGGACAATACTGGGTGTCGCTCGGGTTGCAATGAACTGCATTTGCTGCATTCAGAGCTGACAGGCGCTAAGATGTTCTGAAGGGAGCAAAGCTTCCCAGGCACAGCAAATGAGTAAGAGCAGCGAGAGCAGCCTTGAGGGCCAAGGTCAGCTCACTCCGGCAACTGCCTGCTTTTTCTTTTCTGGTTAAAAGCACCCTGAAGGAGAGGGGCCCAGCTTGGATATGAAATTGCTTTGACAGTTACTCTGGAACATGGCTAAATTTGAGAAAAGAACTGAAATTTTTGAAATTTTTAAAAATAAATTTTATCTTACCCCATTCCCCCAGCCCCCTCCTCTCCCTATGTACAAGTTTCTATTTTTTCCATTTTCATTTTTCTCATCCCTTACTCCCTTCTCACTTCCCAACATCCACTGTACATATCAGTCCTTATGAAATCCATATTTTAACAAGTGTAGCAGTCAAAAATTTTTCACGTATCAATCAAGTAGTTTAAAATGCAAGGCCATCGTAAGACATTTGCCACTTACGTGTATTTCACGCCTTCCCCTATGCTCTCTATAGTCCCTAGGTTTGTAGTAACTCGTTTTTATGGTACTGGAGATGGACCCCAGGCCCCTGTGCTTGCTAGGCCTGCGCTGTCACTGAGCTGCACCCCCAGCCTGTGGGTCATTTTAATACTTTTTTGGTACCAGGGATCGAACTCGGGACTTTGTGCTTGCGAGGCAGGCGGTGGAACCACTGAGCTAAGTCCCCAGCACTCACGTTAATGGGTAAAATAGAACGCCTCTACTTTGCTACAAGATATAAAAACAAAAAACACCTCTTACCGACATCAATAAGAACACTAATATTGGAAAATTAGTTTTCCACCTTGTTTTAACGTTTCAAAAGCCACAGTCGTCCTATATTTCTAGTATTCCACTTAAATTTTTTCACTCTAGTAAGATGCATATACTGTAACCTAAAACTCACCCACCACCTTAGCCACTTTTTAAGTGTACAGTTCAGGAGTTTAAGGACATTCGCATTTTTTGACCCTAATCTCCAAAACTTTCTCATTTGCGAAACTAAAATGTTAACTATTCAAATCTGCATTTTTGTTTAAAAAAATCTCAATGTAAGTAGCTTCATTTCTTCAAATGTTCATCAGCGATAGCTGGTCTGCCCGTTCAGTGCAGAATACACTTCTAGGAAGCATAGGAGATGGAAAATAACCAACGCCGTCCCCGGGGGGTGCTGAGTGCCCCAGAGGCCGGGACAGGGTGGCACCGCAGCTTCGTGCCTCGCGGCGTCTGCACGTGGCAGGCACTCGACGCCACGGCTGTTGATTAACCGAACCTTTCCCAAAAGCAGGAAAGAGAAACGCAGCTTCCCCCTAAAGCTCCGTCTTTTGTGCTGTGGACTTCTCGGAACATACCGATACCACCTGTGCCCGACTCCTTGCCTGAGCCCCAGCTCTGGCTACCAGGGGAGCCCGGGCCAGGACCCGGGAGCTCTGGAAGGTGTGACCGGCTGCTCCGTTTCCTCCTCCTCCCCCAGCGTGCGTACTTTCGCTGCTCCAACCCCTCCCTTTCTTTCCCTCTTCATCCCACTTCTCCCACTCCCCGCCCCACTCCCATTCCCGGGGAACCAAAAACCCACCCCACGGCTCAGCGGCCTAGCTTGAGAAAGTCAGCCACACTGAGCCTAGAGTCAGCGGGCATCACACCCAGAGAGCCTGGGACACGGGAAGGTGCTGCAGGGCCTCCGGAGGACTTTGTCTCCCTCCCTGCCTTCTGTTTGTTTCCTCAAGCACCAGCACACAACATAGGGATTTAAAGAAAATGTGAATCTTTCTACGACTTGCAGTGGCGAATATGAAAGATACTTAGAGCAAAAAAAGGAAGATCAAAGGAAAAAGCACAAAAGCGCTCAAGGAGAAAGGGTGCTTTGAAGGAAAAAGAGCAGACTGACTCTCTCCAGAAACAAGACGGCAGCAGGGGCCTGCAGGCGGGCTGGGGCGTATTTATAGGTTCTTCCTGATGTTGGCTCCAGGCCTTCCTCCTTAGCGCCTGCTGGATTGGGCTCAGGTGTGGGAAGACTGGCTCAGGCCAGGGCTCGGCTTGTTCTCGAGTCAGAGATTGCCATCAGGTGGCAGGCTCGAGGGCGGCCGCTCGGTGCCCGTGGTTAGCAAGTCCCTGCAGCGGGCAGGGGGTGGCCAACTGCCCAGCCACGTGGCCGAGGTCTCGTCCCCTACCCCACTTTGATATGGAATCTCCAGAAAGGTGTTAGAGCTCTTGCTTAGCCTGTGAGGGGTTCCCACCCCCAGTACCTCAAAGAAGGGAAAAGAAAGTAGATTCTTGGGAGTTTAGGGAGGGGGTAGCTCAACAGTACAGCGCGTCTTCTTTTGGGGACGGTGAAAATGCTCCAAGATGGACATGGTAGGTTGCACGTGTCTGTGGATATACTACTGTCGCCCAGGAGAATCATACATCTGAAGTTTTAAAAACTTCCTTTGACTTTCAGTATAGTTTTATTATATATGTATGTGTCTAAATAATACATTGCCTACCTTGGTAAGTTTTTAAATGTATATGATAAATACATATATATATCTTTCTACGACTTGCAGTTTTATTCAACACTGTATTTCTTCCATTTGTATTAGTAGGCGTTTGCAGTACTCAATGCGCACATCCATCACGAGGAGCTGCCCCGCACAACACCTCTCAATGCTCTTTCCATCCCCTCCCTCACCTCGCTCCGTTTGCAAAATATCTACCTGTTTTCTATTGTCTATCTTTATTTTGCTCTTTGTTTATATTTCGGGTTTCTCAATTAGGAGAAATCATGTGATACTTGCACTTGTGTGTCTGATTTATTTCACTTAATATTACGGTCTCAAGGTGCATCCATTTCCTACAAATGACTCAAGTTTATCCTTCCCTGTGGCAGAGTAGTGCTCCTGTATTTTCCTTCCTTCCTTCCCTCCCTCTCTCCCTCTTTCTTTCTAACAAGATCTGGCCTCAAACTTATACAATCTTCCTGCCTCAGCCTCTTGAGTGCTGGGATTATAGACATTCACTACCACACACCCAGCTCTCAACACTGTATTTCTTTGAGACTTCCACGTTTAGTTATTCAGTTCTGTTGTTTACTAAGTAACCTTTACACTGAAGATACTAAACCATACTTCAGAGAGGGCTCTCATGAACATCTCATTCTAGATACAGTGGACCCTCAAGTTACAACTGGCCTGGCATACAGACAACTTGGGTTAATTAGGTTAATGGAAGATTCATCTGCCTCTTGTTATCTATAGCATGTACCCAGGGAGACATCCAGATCTCAGCTGTATTGACTTACAATCAACTTGCGTTACAGCAAGCCCTTGGGAATTGATCAAGTTCATGTGGAAGGGTCCACAGTATTTGATGTTTCTGTGTAGCTAAGAATAGAATAATATTTAAATTTTTTATGTACCAATTTATTTATAAGTACGTTTTTATGTATCCACAAATTGTAAGAGCTTTAGAAAAAGTTTCAGCTATTTCCAAATTGTCTTCCAAATTTGTTCCTGAATGGTGTGATAGAGCTATAATCAAACTGTCTTGTGCTCTGCCCCTGAAACCTGGCTTCACTTGCACATTTCCAGGTAGTGACTCATCCTGCATAGCTGCTGTGTTCAGTTTGTGTACATCTCCGATTTGACACCAGCCAGGAGGCCAGCCTAGGAGTATGAACCAAAGCCATCAGCTCTGAGCTCTCACAAGAGAAACTTTTGGGCTCCCGAGTCCGCACATGGGGGGAATCATCCGTTTCAGTTGTCCTAACAGAATTCCACAGGCAGATGGATCATACAACAGATTTCCCTATCGCAGTTCTGGGGACGAGGAAGCCCAAGGTTGGGGTCAGTGAGGGGCTCCTCGCTCATGGATGGTGCCCTCTCCCTGTGTCCTCACATGGTATGGTGGCAGGGGCCAGGCAGCACTGCGAGCTCCTTTTGTAGACACTCATCCCATGCAGCACCTCCTAGTGGCCACAGAATCACACTGGTGATTCGGTTTCAACATATAAGTGGGGGCTGGGGGATACAAAACATTCTGACCACAGCAGTGTTGCTATTGCAGCTGTTGGCGCCAGCTCCACACTGCTGTCTGAAGGCAGTGTTGGTTGGTGAGCTGTAACACTAGCTTATTTCTAGCCACCTGGAAAGTTCTGCTGAAAGAGCTATGCGGTCAAGTTCAGGCTCAGCAGGAGGAAGTGCTCTGACTTAGTACTGATGTGTCCAGCACTTACACTCCCTGCACTGCTGCTCCTAATGTATTAAGATGATCTTAGTGACTGCAGGGCAGTGCCAGAGTTCCAATGAACATAACCTGGTCACACTCTAGGAGAACTGTTCCCTTTCATAATCACCCTACATCTCTGGACATGACGTATTTTTAACTACGCATATTCACAGGCACCATAACTGTTTTGGATCTGCACCTTGTAACATGCATAATCATATAAAAGGGTATTTAACATTTTAAGAGATAACTTTTTAAAATAACTTTATTATCAAACACACACAAAAATTAAAACCATTCAAAGAACAATGCAAGGGGAAAAAAACTACAATAATATTCAAATATAGTAGAACTCAACCAAAACAAAACTGAAAAGCACTTAAAATTTTTTCCATATAACTTAAAAAACCATCTCAAGCACCAACAAGACACCAGAGGATGTGATTTGTTTCAGAAAGATCCCCCAAACCAGCACTGAACAAATAGTGGTCTGGAAAAAAACTCCAGTTAGTTAGTGACTCCACATAAGCCAAGCTTCTCTCTAATTTAATTTTTTTGGGGGGTTACCAGGGACTCAGGTCCTTCCATTTGTGCAGCAGGCAGCGAAACCACTGAGCTAAATCCCTGGCCCTTCTCCCTAATTTAAATTTTGATACACTCAGTCATAAGACACGCGATGGAAACACAATCCGAGAAATATGTTATTAGGCCATTTCATCCGTGTGTATCCTTAATTACACTCTCAGTTTCTCACACTAGAGAAACTATTCGGTATTTACACGTGTG